AGGGATTAGATAACTAATAAATTAATGTCAATATATTATCTTTACACCAAATAGTTGCTGGTTTCAGTTTGTTGACAATGTTTTAACACGTTGTTAGCTTGCAGTTATAGTAACATTAGCTTAGCCACGTTCAAATAAGAAAAAGCTGAGATAAAGCTAAAGTAGAGGATACACCTTATTTCTTTATACTGAATTAATCAACCTGATATTTCTTTTTAAAGATAAGAGCTGAACATTTAGAGGACATCTTTTATGACTATTCTCAATATTCTTGCAGTTGGACTGATAATTAAGCAAATTAATGAATACATCTTTGACTCTTCAAAATAAGAGGCAGATAAGTCGATAAAAGCTGTTAAGGTACACATGGTTAATAAATTGAATTTAATGCATAAACCTTTCAAATGCAGTGCTGGTTAATAACTACGCTTCTCCTGTAGGTTTTCATAGCAGATCATATGCCATTTGGTGGGCACCAGTTTGAGTCAGATGGTGGATGATGGCAGTGTTGGAGTTGTGGTACAATGTTCCAGTGACGATAGTGCTGCTGTGACACCACATTCCGTTATAACCACTTGAGAAAACGAGTGTGAGAAAGGGCCTCTACCATCTGCATCAAGCCGGTATGTAAAGATGTTTACTTTGTGGTGACATGTTTAGGTCTTGGTGTTTAACTGATCAAGCCTTTTAGCCTAGTCACAAGATGCATCTTTGACAGCCTGGGCTCTCTGGTGTGAGATATCCTGGGTTTTACTATTTCAGATGCAATATTGAATGTCCCTGCGCTTTCTGCCCGCCTCTTCCATGGCGTCTCAGATTGAAGAGGGGAGAACAAGTCGAGAACAAATGTTAACTTGTAGCTCAAATCATTTGTAAACCGCTTCACATTCCATTAATTCCTGTCTTTAAGCATGAAACCTAAATACAGGCAACACTTTGTATAGAGCCTGAATGGAATGCCTTTCTTTGTTTTAGGGTTCAAGCTTGGAGATGAATATAGTTGCAACTGTAACAAGACACTATTGAGCCGTCTTGGTAAAAGTTGATACCTGCAGGTGAGCACCTATGTTCTCTCAAGTTGAAATATACTTCAGTTTGCATCCACTGATAGACCTGAAGCAGGCTTCACTGGCTTCTGGGTTTGCATAGAGATGCTAGACTGACACTTCCTTGTGTGTTCTGACTGCTGTATACTACAGTAGCACAGATTAAATTGAGGAATACATGTACTTCAAGGTCAGATTCACAGGTGAATGTCTGTAGTGTGCCTGGATGTTTAGTTTATTTCATCCACTAAATCTTCAAATTGACTCTTGCATGGTGCTATTCTAAACATACAACAGAATCAGTGTATTAAATGTTCCAGTAACTGGAATTTTCTAGTTAAAACACTAATTTGTTGCAAATGCATTTATCTATGTTCACTCTGTGTCTTACTGAGACATAGAGGCACAACTAGTTGTTACAGGATGACTAACATTTGTAGGTTGTGCGTCTTTGTCATTTTTTTTGCAGGTAATAAGCAAGACAATGCACCCACCTGATGGAGATGAGGCCAGTGGAACAACTTCTGTTCTCCCTGATGCCAAACTTGCTAAGAAATGTTTGTCATTTAATTTGCCATATTGGATCACTGACAGTTTTTCCATCTGCCAGTAGTAGTCTTGTACATAATGTATCCAAGCAGTATCACTCTGCATGCTGTACTTGCAATGTGGCAGTGTGTGACATTTTGTCTTTAAAGGGAAAACTACGCAGCTGTTGTTTATTCACAAATGTGACCGCAAACTGAATTTTAGCTACTCTATCAGATTAAATACTGTACAGATTTTGTGCTGAATTAAACTGGTGGGAACACTACTTTTGCCTTGGATAGCCCATGATTATTTAAAAAACACAGAACATGCACTTTTTTGGGGGGTGGAGGCACTTTAAACTTTCTATACACAGCTATGGTACATTGAAGGAAAATAAAAAATTTAAATATTAAGAGGAAGTTGCAATAAAAAAGGGATATGGGTTCAAACTGAGGATTCTTCTAGAAGACCAAGCAAAATAAATCTTAAGTGAACTGTAGGGGAAGTTATCCATAGATGGTTGTAAACAAGTTTGTATGGTTGGTGTTTTAAAGGGGGTTTTTGAAGTGTGCACTGCTGTACAGGTGTTTTTGTGCTGCTGTTCTTGTACAAAGTAAGAGTAAAACTTCTCTCCTGAAACATTTATTGAATAAGTCAAAATATAAAACAATTTAAAATGAGGTGATATGGACTAATTTGGGTACATCTGAAACCGGATTACACTGGTGGTGGTGGTCAAAGTGTTAATGCCAGCTCGGGCTGAATTTGTCTTGGAGAAAAATCTCAGCGCATTATTAATTTAGTGGTGGGTCAGTAGCTTAAGTTTTCTTTTACACATTAAACCTCTTAATATACTTGTATCAAAACATTAAAACCCTAATGACCAGAGTTAGCATCTTTTGCTTCATAAAATACTACCTATGTGCAGAGCCCGAGGGGACAAGTGAAATATCGGGGGGTTTACCTCAAGGATCGGCCGGCACAGACAAACCACCCCATGAAGAGATGGTGCACATGTTGGTGTAAAACCTCAAGTACTCATCTCCTACGAAATATCAAGCACATACAACAGCCTCCCTCTTGAAAACTCAACCTCCTTGTGTTTTGAGACCTGAGAACCCAAGGCCCCATCTGGGAGGGATACCCATCACATGAAGAGATGGTATACTGGCTCTGGAAGGGTCAGAAACTATGTGTCGGTCTTCTCCTCGCCTTGATAATGTCGGTACTCTGGTTTAAGCTCCCAGGTATTCTTGTGCGTTCCCTTCACGTTGTAGATTCCAATATTGCGCAAGATTTCCTTCAGGTAAATCTGGGAGAAGAAAAACACCAAATATGAGAAAAGGTGGATATAACTCTCTTGTGTTAGTCAAAGATATACTTATGCACATCATGAATAATAATTTTAAAAAAAAGGGGGGGGCCATAAGGAAAATATCTTTATGTCGGATACACCCTGTAATGAGCTGGATTATTTTTTTTTTTTATCCTTGAGGAAACTTCAAATTAAATCAAAAACAATTTCCTGGGCCAACACTTTTGTTTAAAATCAGTCAGTATTAACAGTGTTACAACTAAAGCCCTCATACTGCCCTCTAGTCTTACCACAGGCTGGTTGGTGATATCCACCAGGTCTTTGATGTTGTAGTACTGATGTTTCTCAAAAGCAGAAAACAACATGTCCAAGACCTGCTGTTTGTCAGCTCTTGCTCTTTTGCCGTCCTCCTTCTTTTTCCGCTCATACTCAAGCTGCAGCAAAAAGTAAACAGGTCAGGTATCATGTATCGGCCTACACATTGCTGATCAATACCAGTGGCAAGTCATTAATTACCCACCAATCATCTTAGATCACACTTCCATATTGTATGCACATGACTGTAAAGACTAGAAATGTGCTTGACCTCAACAAATAACATGCTTACCAGTAAATATACATGATTTCTAGTAATTATATGTGCGACCTACATTTTAAATGAAACATGAAAAAATAACTGAGTAGACTGAAACAAGTAGATTGTGTGCAGGATTTATTTCTTACATTGTAAGCATGGTTGGCCACAGGTTTGTAGTTGGTGGTGACAGCTTTGGACAGCTGCTGTGACAGTCTGGCTGGCTTGGAGGACTCTTCGATCTGTAACCTGGTAGACATTGAGAAACCGCTTTACTTGCCAAGTGCAATATATACGACACATACTATATAAAATGTAGAAACACGTATGATGAAATGCAATGTCATACAATTGTTCTGAAATTAATATTGTTTCACATAGATGATAACATCTGTAAATTTTGAAATGTAAAAATGCAACCTTTGACTTCTGAATAAATCATGATGACCTGTGTAATTATACCCAGTCACCCAGTTTATCTATACATGTATAAGATGCAACACTCTGGAACAATGGCACTGAGATGTCCACATACAGTATGGCCTGGCTGATTAAACGTTAATACAGGCTTGGCACAGTATGGACTGTCTGTGTCTGGATATTCACAGGCCACGAAAATGGTGCATTCAATTTTGTTGGTCTATGAAGTAAACAAAACTACTAAACAGACTATAAAGAAATATAAATCATAATACATACTGTAATCTACATTCATGCACCTAACACTGCAAATTTGTTTGCACACTATTTAGAAAATGCCCACCTCTTCAGCCTCATGTAGTTTGCACTAACAGCAGGTCTGCACTCTGCTCTCTGCACTACGACTCCCTCCAGGGCTATTTTATCTGGGAAAGAAGAAAGCTAATTAAAACCTCAATAAAAACCTTCCAGTCCATGTGTCCCCATGCATTTTAGTGTATGTTTACTTCATAAGTAAGGAAGGGTGAGAGGTTGCATGTGTATGAGAGGAATAAAAGCAGATACTATTAGTGAACGATGGGGCAAAACTCTGCTTTTCAAGTTTATGAATCTAGTTCGGTCCAGGCTTTCTCCTGAAGTTAAAAGAAACATGTCAGAGCAATCAAGGGTTAATTTCAGAAACTCCATAAAAATGTCTTTTTTCATACAACCACTTTGTTTCTCACTTTTTCCAGTGCTATTTACAAACCAGCCAAACTGGCTGGTTGGTTATGGGGAGGTTGCCCTTCAAAATCCTTCCATCTGCTGTCTGTAGGTCATCAACACCATGTCACACTTGTTAAATGTAAAAAGTCTGAGCTAGAGAAGTATTTAAATCAGTATCATGACCAATAACAAAAAAAAAATTATAATTAAGTGAATTCTGTGGTTTCTTTCAAACAGCTATACAAGTACCACATGAAGCCATTTATGTTCTAATGTGCATTTGCATAAGTGAGTATAATATAGAAAATAACTATTCAAAAGTCAGTTATACCTCTGATCTTCCAGAGATCAGGGTGAGTAAACAAGGGTCTACTGGCCATGGTGACTGAGAACCATGAGAGCTACATCTTTGCTAGTTTCACCAGTAGACAAAATTATGTGAATGGACAGATTCTACACATTTTCTGTTTAAATGCACTGAGAAATCAAAACAAGAAAAAACTAACCTCTAGATCTTTATAAACACATCACTGAAAGTGCAACTTGATAACTTCACAGTGTCTTTGCTTAATTATACTGTATGTAGTTCTGAGGTAAACCTGATGTACTGTACCTACAGAAGATCTAACAGTTAAAAAACTGTCATATTTATTCTCTTTGCCAACACACAGTGTCATCACTGGACTGGAACTATTACCATCACTATGAACAGACTGCATTGTGCTCAGGTGCACTCTCAACCCAGTCAGACCACATTTCCATCCTCCAGTCAAGATGGTGCAAACCAAGTGCAAATGCTTCACATGGACTGTACAATTATGCTGAAAAAAGTAGAGGCCCGTGTTATATTTACAGGTGAAACTGGGCACTAGTTGAGCTCAATATGTCTGGAGTTTTGGTACCAATACATGCATCTCCCAAAACATATACTGTATATGTGTTACTCTTGTGATACTACAGGCAGCATTTATTCTAAATAATAATGAAGATAATCAGTGTGTCTAGATTCTCTTTGTCACACATGGGAGATGCGGAGAACTCACCTGGACCTGCCTTTGCGCCCGAACCTGAGTTGCTGCCATCAGATCTCTCCTCTGCCTGGCCTACAGGGAGAAAGGGATGGTAAAAATAAGATAGGGGATGGAAGACGAAGGGAGGATGGGATCGAACAATAAGAACCACATCCAGGGTTTAGTCGCACACGAAAATATTTGATTACACAGAGCTCCTTGATGCCTGACGGGTACATGCACATGTGTGAAAAAAGGAAGCATGCCTTTAGAACAAACGAGCAAACAACCGGTCCCAACCCCAAATACACATCTACAACAGGGCTGCACAAACAACAAACATAAGTGATACAGCAAATTTTCACATAAAAAAACATGCATTGTATGTTACCAAACTCTCTCTCCAGGTTAAACTAATTTTACTACAATTTGGAAAACACAGCAGTAATTACGTTATCTCTCTTTGTCTCACTTCCTGTTATTGTTAATATAGTGAATTTTATGCAATGTGATGCCACATTATCCAACTTTTAGTAGCTGCCTTCCTGGCCAGGCCGCCATTGAAATTTCACATTAAGTCATACTTAATTCAACTATGCAGCCCTAAAACACGTGCACGCACACACACACTCTCTCTCTCTCTTAGACATATAAACTGGTGTCCCAAAGTAAGCACAGCAGCACCTGCAGCAACAAAACTCCTACAGTACATTCAGAGGGAAGACAAGGCCAAAGAAATTCAACCAAACAAACTCGTGCACAAAATAAATCAACTCCAAATTCAACAATGATTTGTGTTGATATTGACCTAAGTTACAGTAGCTTCAGAACATTTTCAGACCCCTTCATTTTTTCACACTTGTTAACTGCCATTTTGTCCATGAACCTACAATCAGTAACATCATGGTGAAAACATGTTTTACAGGGGGTGTACTCACTTCTGTGATATACCGTAGATCAGGGGTCTAGTATAAACAGATAATTAAAATAAACTAATACTACAATCTGTGGATTGTTACAAGTACCACAAGTTGCGCCAGAGGCATTCAAAGCAGAAAAGCGGCATACTCTTGCTGGGCTCAAAGGTGAAAACAAAGACTCACCCGATGAAGTCTCAGTGAAGACTGCCAACATCTGACCTCCCACTGACTGCATGGTGAACGGGTGCTCGCGAGGTGTAGACACCATCTTGTCTTCTATACCTTCAATCACAGTCAGCTCTTCATTCAAAGTAAAAGTCACCTGTAAAGAGCAGTGCCATCCACATTTAATCTTTTCATCCCCTTCCCTTTTCTTTTGATCTTAATGCAATTATCCAATGCCCAAACAATTCTAATTCATTTATTAATCTCATAATGATCAGATAATATTTTGGCTCTGACTAAATCTGTCCATCTCTGAGCTTGACAGTAAAAGGAGAAAGCAAGAGAAAAGCTGCTACACCCCAACAACATGAGGATGACTTCTACCCGAAATATTGCATTATATGTGGCAGGTGTCTATGGCCAGGATCCAATGTACTTCTTTCAAACATTACTTACCTCTGGTTTTCCTTGGGTTCCTTTCCTTGGGGATAAAAGTAAAGAGCAAAATTAGAATGATTAGATTGGCAATAACAACAAGGTATTCAATTTCACATGAAATGCTTTAGTACAAGAACAAAATATAGCTTGCATAACTAACTACTTCACCACAATAATTTCATCCTTCATTACAACACAAGCACATTTTATTTTCTCTAATCTATGCTATTCTAAATGTACAGTATGTCTGATCTCCTTAATGCACCCATGGCTATATCACTTGTTTTAGATGCACAAGTACAATAAGTAAGTAAATTTGGCAGCTTCTGCTTCAACTTCTGCTGTTTAATCAATGCTCAACTCTTTCACATACTTGCAGATTCTGATTTTCCCAACCTCGCCTCTGCCAGGTGCTTTTGTCCATTGCTGAGAGAGGTATTTGGGTACCTGCAAGAAAAAGCATGGCTTTATTTTATAAGGACTGCTTTCACACATGAATGAAGATCCTTGTGATATTAACATAAAGATAGGAGCTAAGTTATTCCTTTATTATGTGGTCATTTCTCACTGCTGATTGTAAAAGTCTCTATAAGAAGGAATTACATACAGCATGCTCCTGGGATTCAGTTATACTAACCTGAGTGATGTACTGTATGAATTGTAGTCGTGTGTCTGAATTCACATTCCTTAACAATGCTGAAAATACCAGTACTAAAACATGTGTTAAATGTCTGAAGTTTTTAAAATACTTTAACTACAGTTGCATGCAAAAGTTCTTAAAGATCATAGATTTTAAACATGCTAAGTGAATAAAACAAAATAGCAATAATCTTAACGTTAGCTGGTGTTAGGTATTTTTAGTCAGATAGATATTGGATAGATCTGGTCAAGGATACTAGAGAGAAGAGTTGATGACTGTCAGCAGACAGGATGTTTAATATTATTATTATGACGTGTAGAACTGTAGCCTTAGCCATAATATGTTCTTATGTTTAAGTCACGACATGTTACTAGAGGTCGTGAGAATGTTTTTAGCTACACACCACTTAACCAACAGACACACACACATTGATTTGCTTCATGTTTTGACTACTGCTATGACCAGCTGCAAAGCTGGCAACAGAGACGTCTCGGTTGACGTTTCTGTGTAGTATGGGGCTAGCCCAACTGAGGGGATATAATGTATAGGCCTGGTGGGTTCAGGGTCTTTCATCTTACATCTGCCTGCGAGCAGTTTGGAGGTGCACGATACCTGAGCGTGTAATGTTAATTTTACCTGTGATCCTTTGAATAAATCAGCACTGTTTTGAAGTTACTTGGACTGTCTCGTCTCTCAGAGTTAGCAATGGTAACAAGAACCAAAGACCAACACTGGCTACAAAAGCGTTTACGTGCTGTGGTAACTGCCAAATATTTGCATTTATTAGTTACTCTGCCAACATTATCAAACATGTTAATTTTGCAGCTACGTTAGGCTGTACAAACCGCCATTAGTTGTGTGGAGCTGCCAAACATTTTTTCCATAGAACATGCACACATATTCACACCTCAGTATGTAGGAGGTGGATAATTAGATATAACTGTATCAGCAGCGTAATGTTGCTTAGCCAGTTTAACTAGGCTAGCTAGCAGTTAGCCAACTTCAGCTGCAACGCACGGATTCATTCGAAAAGCAGTATTTCTTTTAGCTTCAGCTGTATTGAAACTGCTAACGTTATTAAAAGTATATAACGTTATTAAAAGTATATAAACACACCTTTACAAGCCACACACCCGTATTCTGTTTGGCACCAGTTAAATCGACTTCACCTTTCTCTGACATGATTAAAAACGCTTCTTCGACAGTACTAAAGAAAACGCCATACGCATGCGCAAAACAAAGTACGGCGAATCTGAAGGTCCATATTACTTTGTTTGTGCTTCACTACGACCAGTAGTAAGAGAATAGTAAAGCCGTCAAACGCACATAAAGTGAATGAACAGGATTTCTGCAGGTTTAATAAAAACGTGCAGTAAAAAATGGACGAAGTAGTCTTAGTTAAAATCTTGACTTGTTTATCCAGAGTTGATGATATTTGTAACTAACGCAGTAGTAGTAGTAGAGTAAGACACTACCTTTTTGTTGAAAATTAATTCTGTGCTTGTTTTAAACAAAATGTGAGCAATTTAACATATAAAAACAACCACCTAAGCAGTTTATTCAATGAAAGATTGTAGGCAACAGAGGGCGCACGCACCATAACAATACATTTTCCACCAATCTGTACAAAAATGTTTCCATGAAAAGCAAAGAAATCAATCACAGAGGGCTAACATTATTAACAGGATTTGAGACATTCAGTGGCTGTTTTTCTCATTACACAAACACATCAAACAGTGCATGATGGGGTTAAATGGCTAACAATCATAGCTTCAAGTCTGACACAAGTATCTTGTGCAGCGTCAAACAATGTGGAGCTTTACTGAAGCACCCCAATCATTTATAGTTTGTGATCCAATGCAAATTTACCAACTAAACTAATTTAACAGGCAATTTTTCAGATCTCAAAAGATGACCCGATGTACTGTGTATGAAGCTAGGAAATTTGTTCTATTTATTTAAATATCAGCTTCTCTAACTGCAGCCCTAATACCGAAACACTACTGCTTTACATCAGCTTCAATCAGATTGAAATATTTGCTGTAGCATTACGGCCAGCAAGTGAAATCCCATAAAAGAACATACCTTGTCTCTGCCATACCATTTCCTTATAGTCTGTTTAGTCCAGTTTAGTTTACCTTGTAGAGCAACATAAAATGCATTTCTCCATTTGTGTAAGAAGAGTATATGTAGAACCTGTCCATATTATACAAACCCTGGATGAAACATTTACCAGCCAGACTGTAACTGGGGGTCTGCATTTTTTGATAGGCTTCTTACATTTTGACAATTTGTTACAGGAACATTTGGTCCTTGCTGTGCGAGAACCTTGTGTTCAGTTCCTGAGATTTCTTCAGCAGCCGCTGCTTCTGTGCTTCATCAAAGCGATTCACCTGCAGATCTTCATCCCGGTCAAAAGGCCTCCTCTCTGTGGGTTTATCAGCCTTTTCCTTGGCTTTTTCCTTCATCTTCTTTGCGTGCAAACTCATGAGAGACTCAGCACGTTTAGACTCCTGATAACAGAGATAGGGTAGAGAAATTTTAGCTCTGAGTTTAGCATGAACACTTGTAAAATGTACATATTACTGAACATCTGACATTAAATACTGTATATAGGGGAACATTTAGGGCAAAATAATGGTGAAGTAATACCACTTACATTATACTTAGACACCTTCTCTGCCATTTCTAGTTCCTTGGGGGAGATTTGTGGGACACTGTCCTTTTCTATTTCACCCTTCTTCTTTCCCTCCAGGCGTTCCTATTGGTCAGGAATGTAATATACAGTATAGTCTACAAGATGTTTGATAAAACTGACCAAACATATAGATAAGCCATCTGTTATTAACTACCCTGGCCTTGTGCTCCCTGTCTGCTGGTGTATCTGTCCAAATGGAGCGATCATTGTTCTCCGGACCTGACCTCTTCTTGAAATTTCGAGGCCCCAAGCCAATGTGTTGCAGTTCTGGTGGGAGCTCTGTCATCCAAGTTTCTCTGGTCAGTGCCTTGGGAGCATCCTGTTTACATAGGAAGTAAAGAAGGCTTTAAAATGCATAGTAGGGCACCCTAGCGACAGATATTTAGCTAAATGCTGTCATTTTTTTTCCTGTTTACAGATTGATCTCTAGTATTTAACTGAAGAGTTTGCATAGTGCAGATAATGTAGATACTACTGGGGAATGAAAAGAGCACTCACATGTCCTGTCAGCTTCTCTTTCATCCTTTGTGCCCTGCGCTCAAAATCCAGAGCAACAGAGTCTTGAATAGCCCCTCTGGCCGGCATGGGTCCAATCAGATCCTCATCTTCTCCCTCGCTGCTGGAGGGCTCAGCCTGGTAGCCTGGGGGTAGGGCAGGCCCTGGGAGACCTTCTCCATATCCACCATCATTATCATCATTATTGGATGCTACTCTATGAAACCCAGGAGGCAAAGCTGGTCCCAGCACAGGTAGCCTGAGGAAACACTATGAACTTACAGCTCCCAAAATTAACTCTTTCTCCCCACTGTTATTTACCAGAACTCACACTAAAGAAGTTATTTTCTCACCTTTCTGGTGAACTCTGTTGTTTCTTAAACCCTGGTGGCAGAGCTGGTCCAAAAAAACCACCATCATCTGCTTGTGCCATTGTCTTGTCCACCCTGTTCAGAAAAGATACATGTTACTGTTTTTTTTAACATTTAGGTACCATTAACTAACTATGCATTAACCAATAATGCGCCCATTAATTACAGTTTATAAACTCATGGTGTCTTATTAGTAAGTGGAACTTTATCTGCCTACCCTGTAGGACTGTCTCCGGCTGTGTGTATTGTCTTGGCTCTTTTGACCGCGACCTCCTGCTCGCTTTCATCCGAGGAGCTCGACGGTTCTTCCCGTTTATAACCCGGAGGCAAAGCGGGACCAGCGACTACAGAGTTAAAGAAGTAAACATTTCACTACCATGAAAAAACAAACCTGAAACGAGTGTTTCATTTCATATAAAGTAAGGGAGGTTAACACAGTAATCTATACTTACATCCCTCTTCATTATCAGAGTCTTCATCGCTCTCCTTTTTGAACATCGGGGGCAAGGCGGGTCCGATTGGTTTATCAGAGGACATATCTGACACTGATAACTTAGTAGGTCACGTAGTTTCAATAATTTATGTCAAAAGTAAGATAACTGCCCCATAAACCAGAAGAACAGCAAAGGACGCATATCACCTTTCACACGGGAAGTAAACACCGATGGCTCTGTCAAGCTAACCAAGGTTATCCGCGCAAACATGAAGTAAGTTGTCCTGCTATAATAACAAAAACAAGGATGTGGTTTATTTTATACGTTATGCCTTGAACCGAGATATATAGTCAGTATATGTCTGTCTAATATTCTAGTGTACTTGAAACACCTTTTATTCATATTTTGGGTGGCGAATAAAGCCAAATAACTGGTACATATTGTGAAGTCTTTATGTAACTATACCGGAAGTTGTTTTAATGATCATTTTATCTAACTTCACATCGGTACTCTGTTGCAGTAACGAAGTCCATTCTTGCAGAATTCTAGGAGGTCATCTGGCTGATCATGAATAATTTCTGTCGTTTCGAAAGTTATTACATAATTAATAGCTTTTGAAATGGGTAAAAAGGATAGAGATCGGGGTGAGTTGCTAATGCTACATTTTAATCTAATGTTACCTAGCTAGCTGTTAGCTAACGTTAATTCGGTGGCCCACTGAAAAATAAAGACCCTAATGCCTGGAGAAATGGTTTTTAATGAAACTGGCATTTCCTTTCTGTGTATTAGTGACCACACACTAGCTTTGCACTTGGAGTCTTTGAACGTCTCCCTGGTTACTCGATGTTACTCCCTGATTACTCGATGCTAGGTTAGCAGTTGTGGTGAAAGGAAAGGTTACTCATTTATTCTCACTAGAATAACGTTACTTATTATATCTTTTTTATGGTAATATATTATGGTATGTATCTGGCCACTGTTCCATTGTTAAAATGCCAGATACTACAAATAAGGCTAAATAGAAAGAAGCACAAGATGTGGTAAAGGGCAGGTGTATCTATTGTACAGCAAAAACATCTAAGTTAATTTGTGGGTTGTAAAAAGAGTCTATATCATGATATTGTCCATAGTGTGATTAAAATCCTCTGACAAGAAACCATACAGTAATATGTATTGCCATTTATTTGTTCACCCCTGAAACTCAGAATCTTTTCTCTCATATTCTTTCAACTCATATTATTGGGTTACAGAGAAGAAGTCCAAAAAGCGTTTCTATGAGGAGGAAGATGATGATGAAGAAGTTTTGGGCACTGAGTCTCAGCAGGCCATACCTGCATCTGCAGGAAAACAAGTGGATGAGTCCAGTACAAAACTGGATGAGTATGGAGCCAAAGACTACCGTGTTCAGATGCAGCTAAAGAATGATCACTCTTCACGTCCCCTCTGGGTGGTGAGACGTGTTTGGATGGTTGATTTTCTCACTTTGATTTTGAATTAAAAGCTAGTGTTCCTTTTTCTATTTTTACAAAATAAAATAAGGGATGTCATATTTTTTTGTTTTCTTATCTCAGTTGTTTCCCCCCTCCAGGCTCCAGATGGACACATTTTTCTGGAAGCCTTCTCACCTGTGTATAAGTACGCCCAGGACTTCTTGGTGGCCATTGCAGAACCAGTGTGCAGGCCTAACCACATCCATGAGTATAAGTTGACAGCTTATTCCCTGTATGCAGCTGTCAGTGTGGGGCTGCAGACCTCTGATATTGTAGAGTACCTGCAGAAACTCAGCAAGACATCTGTACCTGATGGAATCATTCAGTTCATTAAGGTCTGATAGAGGGAGTGTCTTATGCTTTGAGGGAACATAACTGCAAAAGATCCAGATATATTGCTTTTCATTTTATGTGAAAAATAGGAATTAATCACTGCATGCAATCCCTCTGCTTCTCTCAGCTCTGCACAGTGAGCTATGGTAAAGTCAAGCTGGTGCTTAAGCACAATAGGTAAGGCCTTTCAAGCAATCACCCCTCTTCTCTTTGCATCATTAAACTTCCCCTCAGGACTCTCCTTAAACTGTGCTGCCTGTCTCCTCTCAGGTATTTTGTTGAGAGTGCCTTCCCTGATGTGATCCAGCGCCTTCTGCAAGACAGCGTGATCCGTGAATGTCGTCTTCGTTCTGCAGATGGAACAGATACTGAGCTTATTACTGAAGTCATCCAAAGCAAGTCAGCGGTATGCTGTCCAACATCATGCTTACTCACTCCCAAACATATTAAACAATTTATTATTTCTTCAATTATAAATAATCTCTTTTAATTTAAATATACTTATGTTTGCATTTACTACCCCATGTTGGGCAAAGCTTGATTAAGACAGATGAATTATGTACATATCTTTGATGAAATAATATTGATGACATGAGGAAGGGTGTCTTGTGAATTTAATAGTAAAGTCAGTCCCTTAAGAAGTGTTCTAACCCTTTCCTAGTCTTCTAACTGAAAAGTAGGACTCAGTCAAGTTTTTGACACAAAAACTAAACAGTTGTCCTTATCCTACGTACAACAAATATCCCTCTGTGTGTCCTTCTGACAGATCTCCAAGTCTGTTCAGGAAAAGGGAGGTACTTCCACCTCACAGCAGCCCGGCGATGGACAAGTTTCAACCCAGCAGATCCCTGAGGACATCTATACCTACTATGAGCAGATGGATAAAGATGAGGATGAAGAGGAGGAGACTCAGACTGTCTCTTTTGAGATTCGCCAGGTACATATATGATTTCTTTTCTCTTTTTTATTATCTGTTTCACCACTACATGTTTAACATTGCTGCTGACTGTTTTTTAAAAGCATGCAGCTTTAAACTGATTTTCTGTCTTATTCTATTTCTTACTGATTAGATTGCTTAAATGACCAGAAAATAGTAAAAACATAATAATAATAATAAAACAAATGCAGTCACAGTTGCCCAGGGTCCATGGCAACATTGTTCTCTTTTTTCCGACCTATAACCCAACATATGAGTGATATTCAGTTTATAAAAAAAACACAGAAAAGCAGCAAATCCTCACATTTGAGAACCTTGACCCAGATAATGTTTGGCACATTTGATCATAAATGACTTAAATGAAAATTTGAAAATGAATTATCAAAATTGTTGAGAATTAAATTTTTGTTGTTTGACTAATCAGTTAACCTGCTAATCATTTCAGCAATATTGCTGCACAGATAATAAACATGCTACTTAGAAAATGTATCTAATCTAAAAACATATATTGTGATTCTCATCAATATGTGTATACTTGATTTGCAATTATTGATCTAAAACATCCAAAACAACTGGTTTGACTCTTTATACAGTATTTGATTACTGGTCTCTTAAAGCCACCGTTTCAGTTTGGTGACGCTATTTTTAAATCGTGCTTACAAAATGACTGTGTTTTGCTGTACTCTGAACTGTTGTATTTGCTTTTGATCTGGTGCAGGAGATGATTGAAGAACTGCAAAAGCGTTGTATTCAGCTGGAGTACCCCCTCCTCGCAGAATATGACTTTCGTAATGATACAGTCAACCCAGACATCAATATAGACCTGAAACCCACTGCTGTGCTGCGGCCCTACCAGGAAAAGAGTCTGCGCAAGATGTTTGGGAATGGACGCGCTCGCTCCGGGGTCATTGTGCTGCCCTGCGGTGAGACAGTTGGTTTACTGCAGTCAGTGGAGGACAGAACACCGAATGATAGGACACCGGAAAGCATGTCATCCCAATTAAAACACAGTCTTAAAACAGAAACTGGTAGAACCTAAATATGATTAAAGAATTATATAAAATGTTAAATATTTGCCTAGCCAATGAAACATTTGTAATTAGTAGATTTTGTCTTTTATCATAGTGTTACAGTATACCGTCAACCCAAACCATTACTTACAAGTAGTAATCTTTTTTGTAGCATACATCTTCTATGGAAAAAACTAGTATGTCCTGATGATTTTATCTCCTCTTTGCTTTCTAGGAGCCGGCAAATCTCTGGTGGGTGTGACGGCAGCATGCACGGTGCGTAAACGCTGCCTAATCTTGGGTAACTCCTCTGTGTCAGTGGAGCAGTGGAAGGCCCAGTTCAAGATGTGGTCCACCATCGATGACTCTCAGATCTGCCGTTTCACATCCGATGCCAAGGACAAGCCCATCGGATGCTCAGTAGCCATCAGCACTTACTCCATGCTGGGTCATACCACCAAGCGCTCGTGGGAGGCTGAGAGGGTCATGGAATGGATGCGCAGTCAGGAGTGGGGACTCATGATTCTGGATGAGGTGCACACTATTCCTGGTGAGCTGTTACAGCACATCAGTTTTAACTCAATGCTAACTTCCAATGACAACATGTTATGCTGAGAATATTTTGAAGTAATGCTCTGGGATACAATGGGATATAGACCCATGAAGTAGACACACATTTTGATGAGATTAATCTACATGCTGACATAAGAATTCTGTGCTTTATCTGTAGCCAAGATGTTTCGTCGTGTTCTGACCATTGTGCAGGCACACTGCAAACTCGGGCTCACTGCAACACTGGTCAGGGAAGATGACAAGATTGTTGACCTCAACTTCTTAATTGGGCCTAAGTTATATGAGGCCAACTGGATGGAACTGCAGAACAATGGTTACATTGCCAAAGTCCAGTGTGCAGAGGTGAGTCTCGCAGTATTACACCAGAAAATAAGATAAAGGTACATAAACTTCAAAATTCATGACTTAGAAAACCCAATAGAGATGCTGGGTCATACCCTCAAGAGAGATGCTCACATCCTATGAACGGCAGAGCTGAAGCAGTTCTGTGAGGAAGAATGGTCTGAACGTCCTCCTGCAGGCCTGATCTGCAGTTACAGAAAGCACTTGTTTGAGGTTATTGCTGCCAAAGGAGGTTCAACCAGTTATTAAATCCAAGAGTTCACTTTTTTCACCTGCACTGTGAATGTTTAAAGGGTATGTAAAATAATGACACAGAAGATTATAATTGTGTGTTACTAGCTTAAGACCAGACCAATTTCGTGACCAATTGAAACAGAGAACCAGGTTTCACATCCTTTTTCTTGTGCCACTATAGATGTTGAGCTGTCTGATGTCATTAAAATCAGCCAGCTCGCAAGGTTGCGTGCAGCCATATGCAAAAATGTCATTATCGTCAGGATGAGTGACATAGATGATGGATGGATGAAGGTCAACTTTGAGGAACTTGATGACCTTGTTTTGACTATTTTCTATAACTTCTTTTTTTAATATAATTTTAAAAGGTTATGTAATTCAAAGCAACACTGAAATATTCTATGGAACTGCACAGACACCATTTTTATAATCAAACTTAATACATGTTAAAAAATCTATTCAGATACAGAATGTCTTATGATGTTTTTGTTATTTTTTTGTTCTGATTGTGGATGTTTTTTAAAATATACTAGTCCGATTATATTGTTGGTTTACAAAGTGTGTTTTCTTTCTCATTTTCTGAACAATGTTTCTGGATCAGGTGTGGTGCCCTATGTCTCCAGAGTTTTACAGAGAGTATGTGGCCATCAAGACAAAGAAACGCATCCTGCTTTATACCATGAACCCCACTAAGTTCCGTGCTTGCCAGTTTCTCATTCGATTCCATGAGCGGCGCAATGACAAGATCATTGTCTTTGCTGACAATGTGTTTGCGTTGAAGGAATACGCCATTCGCCTCAACAAGTAAGTTATTTACACTAAGGCCAACTTGATTGTTTTTCTAAATTGCCTTGTTACATTAGATTTGAATTCTTCTCTCTCTGATATCTTTAGGCCTTACATCTATGGTCCAACCTCTCAGGGGGAGCGCATGCAGATTTTACAGAACTTCAAACACAACCCCAAGATCAACACAATTTTCATCTCCAAGGTAAACCAGTGAATCTGTTATAGAGCTACTACCTTCAACCAGCATGTGCTCCCCTGTAGCCAGTGCGCGGCACACCGGTTTTTCTACACAACTGAGTGTTGTTTGTCTCCTTTGTGTAGAGTGCTGTTATGTGTAACTGGATCATAATCAGATTGAAGCATTATTCATATTATGAGACCTGTTTTTATCCTGCAGGGCATATAAACATCATTTCAGACATTTACACCATTCTCAAATGAATAATTTTAACTCGGGTTATTGGAAATCAGTTTGCGTAAAATTGAAATTTTACTTGAATTAGGCCATTTGCAAAAATCTGCACATAGCATGTATGTAAATGTACAGTACAACATGGTGTCCTTTTTTCATTATACTGGTTCAATGTTCCTATTGACATTTCACCGCTTGATATGAGTCTGGTGAAAGATCATTGTTAATTTGTACAGTTTCAGTAATTTATATCAGGGGTTTTCAACTAGTTGTGGCCCATAGATCACCATTCTGACTAAGAAGCAACCTGAGGACCACTGCTGTGGGGTGGATAGTCCAGACGAACAATATTTTAATCCTGAAAGTCACCTTGACTTTTCAGAATGTCTTATATTTGCATTAATTTGATTATTCACAAATAATAAATAGGCTACATGTTTAATTACACAAACGTTCAATGCGTTTACAAAATAGACTTTAAAAAATAGTGATTCCTTGAGTGAAAGCACATTGAGTGCATTGTTAGGACCACCTGCAATGCCTTTGCAGACCACCAGGGGGCTGTGGACCACTGTCTGATTTAGATCTACAGTATGTGTAAGAGAAAATCAGTAGAAATGATGAGAGTAAAAAAAAGTATACTGACACAGTGATATTGCATGTCTGTGAATTTGTACTACACATCTGTGACCAAACAGGTTGGAGACACCTCATTTGACTTGCCAGAAGCCAATGTTCTTATCCAGATCTCCTCTCATGGTGGATCCCGCAGACAAGAGGCCCAGAGGCTTGGCAGAGTCTTACGAGCCAAGAAAGGTTTGCCTGGGAAATTTTAAAATAAATTTTTACAAAACCATTCATGAACAAAAAAAAACTGTTATTTTCATTCCACCTGTCTGCCTGTTTAGGAATGGTAGCAGAGGAGTACAATGCATATTTCTATTCACTGGTGTCCCAGGATACCCAGGAAATGGCTTACTCCACTAAGAGGCAGAGGTTCCTGGTAGACCAGGGATACAGCTTTAAGGTGTGTTCACCTTGGCAGCACAGTTGCACTACTGGTTTCATCCTGTTCATATACCAGATTGCACATTTCCCCCATGGAAGTCATGACACAAAAATATTGTTTTCATACACGAATTTGTGAAAAAAATCTTCAGGAGAAATGGGAAATTGTTTATAAATAAGCAAAACTGTGTGTCTGATCCTTGGTCTTCGTTTATGTGTCACCTCATTCTTGTTCCATTTACAAATGCTGTTTCTAAAGACGACGTTCCTTTTTTTCACAGGTGATAACAAAGTTGGCTGGCATGGACCAAGAGGACTTAATGTTCTCCACCAGAGATGAGCAACAGCAGTTGCTTCAGAAGGTCTTAGCTGCTTCTGATCTGGATGCTGAGGAGGAAGTGGTTGCAGGGGAGGTGGGCCCGCGACAGGTGAGGACTCTAGCCAAACTTGGACTCAGAATGCACATACACTTGATTGCCTTTGCATGCTTACCTCCTATAATACAATTTTCTCTTTTTTTTTTTTGCTTCTCCCTGCTTCCTTATCAGTTCTCAAGGCGAACAGGCACAATGAGCTCCATGTCAGGTGCCGATGACACTGTCTACATGGAATATCAAAGCCGAAGCAGCAAGGCCTCTGCAGCAAGCAAGAGCATTCATCCACTGTTCAAGCGCTTCAGAAAGTAGATACACTGAGTTAGCGCTTGACACCTGAAGACTGGTTCAGTTGCGGTAGGACAAAGTTGAGGAACCATAATGTACTCAGGAGCAAAGTACTACCAGCAGCAGATTCAGATAATCCATCCAGTTTGAAGAACAGAGCAATGACTGAAGATAGTCTGAAACTGAATTTTATCTGAAGCTAATGATGATATACTGTAGCCTACATTGTCTTGTCCTGATTGCTGCTGGTGATGACGCTCAAATTGACCCGTTTGCCTGGTGCGTCCACGGGGCTCAGCTGCTCTGAGTTTTAACTCTAGCTTCCTCATACACCTACACCTACACCTACACGTATGACATTTGCAGATGAAATGCATTGTAAACCTTATCTCCAGTGTCATTTACTGTTGTGTGCTCATCACAACTTTGTCTTCAACTGTTATTTTATTTCTGTGTTGTGTTACAGTGATGTGGCCAGCCAATCACAGCTCATTCTGAGGTAAAAATGGACATTGTTTATGAAATTCAAGCTGAATTCAGCAACACTTGAAGGCTTTGACATGCTGTTTGCCATCCATTTCAGCCACAAATGTCTGTATGTAGGATGAGAGGGGATAGTTACTGGACTATGACAGATAGGCGATGTTAACCATAGTCAACGTTTGTCTTAGCTACTGTTAGTGGGCGCTTCACTGAGATCTAGGTAGGAGGAAAAATCAGTCATATATAAATATTGGATTTTTGTCAATACAGTTGTTTGTAAATGTGGTTATATTTTACAAATGAAAACACCACACATGAAGCTGCCATAATTAATGGACATTACCCTGTTTTGATAGTATCACTGAGGTTAATTTTCACTAATATATTTTGTCCTGGAATTTCCCTTTTTTAAAGTTTACATTTGGTATATTTTTGAACAGTTAAAAAGTGTCAAGAAAAAATAAACTTAATTTCCTAAAAAAAGATGATAAAGAATGAAAACCCTTGAACTATTTTAAGCCATAATTAAAAACCTATTTACATTAGTAACAACAGGAGACTAAATGTTGTTCTAAGAAAAATAACAATTAAAATGTCTGTTATAAAACAGTTTATGATGTGTGAAACCTTTATTTTATGTCTAAGTAAAAACTAGCATTTCTACAGATTTCAGTATACTTAAATGCTCAGACCATACATGCTCTTTGCGACAGTGCCACTGCAAATGATTAAATTTAAAGCATTTTTAATCATTAAATCGGACTAAACATGTTTTGCACAATCGCATGCGCACCTCACAGTGTTATACATTTGAATCCAAAAAATTGTGTTCAGTTAATAAAATTGTTATTGATAGGATTTTTAGTTTCTGGCATTTTGGGGTGTTGCTTTCATTGCATGCTTGGATATACTGTATGTACATAAAGTAAGGACAAGAGGAGGAATCGGGAACATGTTGCAGACAGTTTTCAGCGAGAGGAAATGTAAGAAGAAAAGGGGAGGTAGGAGGAAAAGGTGTGAGATGGGTATAAATGCAGAGAAGGGGGATGTCAATTGGATAGCTTTGTTGTTTTATAATAATACATTCATAGTGCTCCTGGTATTCAGACTTTCAAATTAAAACAGTTTCCTGTGGACCAGCCAGCAGGAGGGACACTACTACTGTCTGTATGCTTCATTACACTTACTGTATAACTAACTGTAGTTTTACTCTTAAGAGCTGGACTGTGCTGCATGAGGCTGTACAAACAGACAAACTCTCAGAGGGATCTTATCTGAAGTTTCAGAAAGTGTTGACAGCTAAGCCAACTGGTTTTGGCTGTTACCCTACAGTAAGGGAGGATAAGCCAGTGAGCAATGATGTCCATATGGATGATAGTCAAAATAGAGCTTGTGCTGTGTTTGGTATATAGTTTTTTAAGGTCCTTGTTTCATACATAACACTGACACACAGTTCATTGCATTAAACATTTTGATTATTATAGTTCAAGATTCAATAAGCTTTATTGTCATTCCACAGTATGTACAGACATACAGTGAACTTAAATGTTGTTCTGTAGGGCCATGGTGTAATATAAAACACGCATACTTAAACAAAAAAAAAAAAAACTGATATATTTTTAAATTTGCATCATTCATCATGAATTCATTATGTTCAATTATCTGAACAACTTAAAATGTCATTTTGCATATGATTATTATATGGAAATACATATTAGTGTTGGAAAATATCTTTTTTTTTGATTGATTTAATCAATTTGGCTTTGTGCTCAGAAATTGAGAAAGCATCTGTAAATAGTGGTGCTGGAACTCTGCCTGTCTTTGTAAATGCCCTGACGATTAGTAGTTCCAAAATAGGCCACATACAGTAAATATCCTGTCCAGACTGATTAGCATGCCTATGCTTTTCTTACATGCTTGAGCTGAAGAAATTTAATAAATGATATTATGTGTATTTTTTGGCAAAATGGAAATTATCACTGGCATAGCCTATAACTTGTATTTTTGGTTAGTACACTCACCAGCCACTTTATTATGCACACCTGTACAATTGTATGCACTTCATTGCAACACTTCCACCTTAACATCTGTGTTTATGAAGCTCAAAATGTTTCAGTTTTTGGTGGAATTGTCATAAATGTGTGAATTCAATTATATGTTTATTATTGAGGCCATAGTTAAAGGTGGTGTTGTACTAAACTATGTAATATTTAGAGGTGTCTCTATATTTTTGTCCTCCCCAGGTACATATTAAGGTCTGAATATTAGGAACACTTCTAAATATAATGTAGTCCAGTACAACACCACCTTTAACTATGACCTCAATAATAGGTGTTGAACTGGGTTGAGATTGGGTTGAGATCTGGTGACTGTGAAGGCCACAACATATGACTTGCATCATTTTCATACTCATCAGACCATTCAGGGACCCCTTGTGCCTTATGGATGCGGGCACTGTCATCCTGGAAAAGACCACTTACTTATTCAGGTATTTCCTATAAATACTGTAAAAACAGCTTAAGGCTATGAAGCATGCCAATTCATATACAGTATCTCAAGCTAGGGCAGCACGGTGGCACAGTGGTTAGCGCCGTTGCCTCACAGTGCGAAGGTTCCAGGTTCGGGCCCCACCTGGGACCTTTCTGTGTGGAGTTTGCATGTTCTCCCTGTGCTTGCGTGGGTTCTCTCTGGGTACTCCGGCTTCCTCCCACAGTCCAAAGACATGCAGCTTAGGTTGATTGGTGTCTCTAAATTGGGCGTGTGTGTGTTTGTTTTTCTATATGTTAGCCCTGCGATGGCTTGGCGACCTGTCCAGGCTGTACCCTGCCTTCGCCAGATTGCCGGCCGGGATTGGCTCCGGCCCCACCCGTGACCCCGCTCAGGGATTAAGCGGTAGAAAATGAATGAATATCTCAAGCTAGGTTTGTCACTTTGGTAACTCATAACTAGATCTCTCATAATGATTATAAAGGCAATCATCAGTTAAAAAGTACAAATGAACTGAAGATTTAAACCTCTGCTTCAAAATCTGGTAAAGTCAGGAAGATCACCATCAAAACTTTATCCCAGATTCAAATCAGTCTGAGTACTTTCTGAGTCAAAGACGTGAATAATGTGCAAATATTTTACATTTACTAAACTGCCATCTAGCAATGGCATGTTGTTTATTTTTGGAAAGGTTTACAAGGTTTACAGGAAAGGTTTACAAGAAATTAAATATACAGTGCCTTGCGGAA